TTGACAATAGTATTTTTAGTTTTCCATCCAATTCAGCAGAAATATATTGTATTTTCATAAAGCCAAAACATTGCTATCTGGAGCTCTGCATATATTTCAAACATTTTCTTAATTTGGATACGAAAAATGCCCTCGACCAGACGGGCTACCAGCTTGAAATTTTCACTCGACCACCTGCAAATTTACTCGACTCGGTTGGGCTTGTTACTGTGAAAAGTTGTTAGCCCGAGGAGAAATTTAGTAGTCAGGGGTTATAGGACTACTGCTAATTTCGAACACTGATGTATATTTTCAGTCCGTTTGTTTTGGTAAATGTTAGTTAAGTCCCTTTAATGATATGCTTTTGTCTTACAGGTGTCATTTGTGATCCGTGATGAGATAGAGCGGCATCACAGGTCAGGTGTTAATGCACTCCAGTATGACCCTATGCTTAACAGACTTTATTCAGCCGGCAGGGATTCTATTATTAGGATATGGAATACAAAAGCAACAAGCAAGGTAAATGTTCACAATAATGGAATCAGTTGATACACATTTTTAGCTCGACTATCCGCAGAATAATCGAGCTAATGCTGTCACCCATTTGTCGGCGTCGGCGTCCCTGTGGTTTAGTTTTTGTATGTAAGCTGGTATCTCCATAACTACTGAAGGGAATGGATTGAAACTTCACACACTTGTTCTCTGTGATTATCTAAGATGATTGGCACAAGTCCCATAACTCTGATTTGCTTTTTTTCATAATTATGCCCCTTTTTCGACTTAGAAATTCTTGGTGAAGTTTTTGTATGTAAGCTGGTATCTCCATAACTACTGAAGGGAATGGATTGAAACTTCACACACTTGTTCTCTGTGATTATCTAAGATGATTGGCACAAGTCCCATAACTCTGATTTGCTTTTTTACATAACTATGCCCCTTTTTCGACTTAGAAATTCTTGGTTAAGTTTTTGCGTGTAAGCTGGTATCTCCATAACTACTGAAGGGAATGGATTGAAACTTCACACACTTGTTCTCTGTGATTATCTTAGATGATTGTCACAAGTCCCATAACTCTGATTTGCTTTTTTACATAATAATGCCCCTTTTTCGACTTAGAAATTCTTGGTTAAGTTTTTGCGTGTAAGCTGGTATCTCCATAACTACTGAAGGGAATGGATTGAAACTTCACACTCTTGTTGTCTGTGATCATCTAAGATGATTGGCACAAGTCCCATAACTCGGATTTACTTTTTCGCATAATAATGCCCCTTTTTCGATTCATAAATTCTTGGTTAAGTTTTTGTGTGTAAGCTTGTATCTCCATAACTACTGAAGGGAATGTATTGAAACTTGAAGGGTTTGTACCTTTTCGGACAATTTTATGTATTCATATAGGTAAGCATTATTATACTCAATGAAACACCCTTGTGACAAATTTTCGAATAGTCGAGCGTTACTGTCCTCCGACAGTTCTTGTTTATTCCATCTAAGTCTACCTGTGATTTAAATGGTCATGAAATTAATTATAAATGTAAAATTGTGTATTATTATTAGATTCTTTATTTAGTAATTTTGACATTTGACATTAGATATGTTTATATTCAAAATAAACACGGGGACGCTTATATTCAAAATTTGAATACATTATAAAAGAATAATGTGTATATCTTTTTCATGGGTTTTAGGTTCAAAAAGTCTTTGAGCGCTTTTTCATTTAATATAACAACAAAATAATACTTTGAAATTATACATGTATTGCAAACTAGCCTTGTAAATTTTGCAAAATTGCAATGTAAATGTTTCGTTTCATGAGACATTACATTCATTTTACATCAGATTTCCATAACCTAAGCATATACATGTACATATACATATATATGTTGAACATTGTTGTGGAAATTGATGAGCTTTAAATTAGTTTAATTGAATTGTTAATAAAGGCAACTTGTGTATTATTTTACCAGGATCCGTATGTTTTATCAATGGAGCATCATACAGACTGGGTGAATGACATTGTATTATGCTGTGGGGGAAGAACATGTAAGTATAGTAATCTAAATATTTTTTATTTTTATTTGTTCTCAATTTGGAAAGCTGATGTTATACATTGATGTTATTTTTAGCAATATTTTAGTCTTTTCAGCAGGGGTTTTTCTCTCTTAATTGGGAAGAGATCTTAGCCCTTTGATTTTTGTGGTGTCTCTACAGAGTAGTGGTGACATAATAAAGCTTAATCTCAGTGAACAGACAACCTAACCCTTTGTTGCATAATATGTTTGGTAATTGATCTATGTATTTTACAAGTTCTTGGTGTCAACATACCTTACGGGGCTAATCAGACCAGTCATTTTAATATTTATTTTGCAATCCATTTGTGTTATTATCCAATTTATTTGTCATTTTATGATGTAATTTCTTTTTTTCCTTAATAATGGAAGTTTGCTGTATTATATAAATTCCTTTTAAGATTCTTTATAGGTTTTATTGCCATATATAAACAGTTGTTTGCAATATTACACTTACATATATGCAAACAATCATTTGTATACAAATCTAATGCCATATAACATGCCAAAATGATGTAATGCCATATAACACACCCCCTTAAAAAAGGAAGATGAAATGCCATATAACATGCAACACCAATGTAAAGCCATATTACATGCCAAAAAAAAATAATAATGATGTTATGCCATATAACATGCCCCCTCCAAGCCATATAACATGACAAAAATGATGCAATGTCACATAACATGCCAAAATGATATTAATAACATTGTAATTTATAATGTTAATTTAATATGTATATTTCTTTTGTGTGTTTTAGTGATATCAGCATCATCTGACACAACTGTCAAAGTTTGGAATGCCCACAAAGGATTCTGTATGTCAACACTTAGAACTCATAAGGTACAGTTATCATTATTAAGACTTCTACATCTACAAGTTACTCCAGTGCAATCAGTAAAATATGATATACTTTTTTGAGAAACAGTAAAAATATCATCTGAGAAAAATACTTTTAACTGAGTCATTAGCCAAGGGTAACAGTATTTTATGAAGGATGATATTTTTACTGTTACTTCCAAACCTCTGTGTTATTTATTTTATTACCCGTGGAAATCCTTCATACAGACACTTTTTCTATACTAGGTAAGGAAGGTTACCTATGAAACGGTAAAAATATTTCTTAAGTCACATGGTACACTTGAATTAACAACGAGAATAACCCCCATTGGCTTACATTACAAAAATAGTGAGGGGTAATAATACTGATAATAACTGAGAGAGTGCCCCTAATATTTCTTCCTTGGATAATGTGATTTTATTTTTGTAAACGAAAAAACATAACTCAGGGCCCTTATTTTACAATTTTTGGAGCCAAAATTGGGTCCCATCCCCCTCCATGATTATTACAATGTATATATTTTTCCTGTATCTTAAGAAAATTCCTTTGATTTTGTTGGAATTTTTTGTTGGAACTTATTGATTTTTCTAAGACACATGACTTTTGTGTATAAGATGTTCTGAAGGAAAAAAAAAGAAATAGAAGTATGATTTAGATCATCTGATCATATAATCATTTATTACCCTTCCAGATCTTTTCCGCCTTTTTGATTGGATATTGATCACCCGAAAGAAATTGATATTACCAAGCCAGACGGGTAATATACACACTAAATTTCCCCGTTGGGTACCCCACGTTGTAAACAACATGCGCTGTAGCGATGCGCGTACGGTTTGATTTTACGCAATGTAAATTCCGATTTACAAGCACTTTTTAAATGTCAAATGATAAATATTTACCAAAATAGAGTAATGATATATATTCTCATCAGTATTGAAAACAAATATGACCTTGTGAAAGCTTGATATTAATTCCAAAAAAGTGCTTTCAACAGACTACTCCTTTTCTCTTGTTTACATTCGTTAGGTTCGAAAGAAAATACGTCATGTATTTATGTGACGTCATGTTGTGGTGAAGGGGCACCTTAAAGGGAATCTTATTTCGACGTTTCTTTAAAAGTAGCAATGATTTGTTTTAAAATTGTCTTAACTTGGCAGGGGAAGGGTAATAAAATTATTATTTTGGTTTTGGAGTGATATATGTGGATATATTACCTGCCAAGATAAAATACCACCCTCGCCTGACAACTCGGGTGATATAAAATCTTGACCGGTAATATATCCACATATATCACTCCAAAACCAAAATAACATATAATATATTACTGTATTATTTTAAAAAAGGGTTCAGTTTAAAAACAATTTCTTTAAACTGAACTTTGCAGAAAACTTGTAGCTTAATTGAACAACTTTGCATCTTGAAAGTCACCAGTACTGGATACAAGGTCAAGACCCCAGTAGGGCTTGAATCCACGGTATTAAACATTTTAACCAGTAGGCCACTTCTCCCCTTGAAACAGGGTTATACTTATTTACTTGGGAGAAATGTGTTATTCAGGATTATTGTTTCTTTTATATAATTTCAGGATTATGTTAAAGCTCTGGCATATGCTAAAGATAAAGAACAGGTTGCCTCGGCAGGGCTGGACAGATCTATATTTTTATGGGATGTTAACACATTAACTGCCCTAACAGCCTCCAATAACACAGTAACAAGTATGTAATTGTCTTATTATAAATTATATACACATCATGCATGATGCAAAGAGGGGTGGGAAGGTTAGAAAGTCATGACCTTTTTATGTTTTTAAGTGAAGATCAAGCAAGAGAAAAAAAACTTTGAATGTTGTCATTTTGAATAAAGATCTAAAAGTTCAAATTCTACATTTATTTGCAAAAAAAATCAGAATGCAACATTTTGTAATTTCATGAATTAAGGGTTGTTGATATTCATGTTTATATACCCATTTACATGATGTTGATGTTCGTGAATCAATTGGTGATACTTCATCACTAATAAATATAAGGCTTGTTATCTATTGTAATGCATTTCTTTCATTACAGCATCAAGTTTAAATGGGAACAAAGATTCAATATACAGCCTGGCAATGAACCCAGCTGGTACTGTGATAGTTTCCGGCTCAACAGAGAAAGTTTTACGTGTCTGGGACCCTCGGACATGTTTAAAGCTTATGAAACTTAAAGGTCACACTGACAACGTCAAAGCTCTTGTTCTTAATAGAGATGGAACACAGGTAGGAGATGTGTGAAAAGCTTTTTAACCCTTCTTATTAGAATCAAAATAATGTTGGTCTGAGCATTGTTTATTGGACATTTATCACCAGTTTGATGTTTTGATGCAGAAAAATATTTACCACTTGGGCATACAGAGACAGTTTTACGTTTCTTGGACCCACATTCTCTATTTTCTTAGTACTTCAGTATGTAACAAATGATTTGAGCAACATTGCTAAAACTAAAATTGCAAAAAAATCAATAGTAATAGATTGCATTTTTTTCTTTATTGCATCAAGTCTTTTGCTTATTTGAAGAAATTTTCCTACAGGCAAGTGTTGCATATGTAGACAATATATTTTATGTTGTAGTGTTTATCAGGAAGTTCTGATGGTATGATAAGATTATGGTCACTAGGACAACAGAGATGTGTTGCCACATTCCGTGTTCATGATGAGGGTGTATGGGCGTTACAGGTAAAATTGTTCTAAACTTTTATTGCTCAAGTATGCCAGATAATTTAAACTTTAAACAAGTCTAGAAACTTTTGTCTGTTTACCAGTCTAAGAACCCCAAACTCCTCACAGTGATTACCTTCGTTTGCAGATTTGTAATCACTGACTTCGCAGACGTCACATTATGATGAAAGTCACATGAAGAAATTCAAATGTTAATATCGACCGTTACATAGAAAATCTAACGTCATATTTCTCTTTCTGTTTTATTTTTTACTTTTTATGCCCCCACAATGTGGGAGCATATAGTGTTGCACTTGTCCGTCATTCCGTCAGTCCGTCCGTCAGTCCGTCCGTCCGTACGTCCCGAAATTTTGTGAACGCAACTCCTCTTAAACCGGATGGCAGATTTTGCTTAAACTTACAGGGATGAACAACCTTAAGGTGTAGATGGTAGTAAAGGAAGGAATTTTCGCTGCGATCAAATTTTACAGAATTATGGCCCTTTGTTGATTTTTTCACTATATACTATGTAGAAATTTTGTGAATGCAACTCCTCTTAAACCGGATGGCAGATTTTGCTTAAACTTCCAGGGATGAACAACCTTAATGTGTAGATGGCAGTAAAGGAAGGAATTTTTGCTGCGACCAAATTTAACAGAATTATGGCCCTTTGTTGATTTTTTCATTATATACTATGTAGAAATTTTGTGAACGCAACTCCTCTTAAACCGGATGGCAGATTTTGCTTAAACTTCCAGGGATGAATAACCTTAATGTGTAGATGGTAGTAAAGGAAGGAATTTTTGCTGCGACCAAATTTAACAGAATTATGGCCCTTTGTTGATTTTTTCACTAGATACTATGTAGAAATTTTGTGAACGCAACTCCTCTTAAACCGGATGTCAGATTTTGCTTAAACTTACAAGGATGAACAACCTTAATGTGTAGATGGCAGTAAAGGAAGGAATTTTTGCTGCGACCAAATTTAACAGAATTATGGCCCTTTGTTGATTTTTAGTTTTCAACTTGTGGCACATGTAGTCCAAAAAATATTTGACCTAGAGTCATAAGATTGACAGAACAGTGGCGTGTGGGGGCATCCGTGTCCTATGGACACATTTCTAGTTTAACATATGTTTGTTATAGTTAATCAAAGAATTATCAAAAGTGCACTAGATAATGAAAAATAAATTCAAAAGCTAAGAAATATAAAATGTCAAAATATTGATAAAAATGTTTGTGGTGGTAGAGATCTCTGTACTGATAAGGGGAGATCACTGCTCAGGAGATTGTAAGGACCCAGGTAAAAAATTTTGTCGGTAAACCAGTCTAAAAATTTTAGCTTATTTGAAAATCAGTAAAAAAATCTTTATGCATGTGTGTGTAGTATGTATCTATCTACCCCAATGCCTCTTGGGGACATAGACATGCATGTATCACATGCAAGAAATTTTGTCTGTAAACCATTTAAAACTTGACTGAATCATTTAAAGAAGAGAGAGGAGTGTTGCTACAATTGTGTTAAAATGTAGCTTGATTATGCATTATAACAATTTCTGAAAATAGTGGTGTATCATGAACTTCAATTTATTAACTGATATCTTATATATTTGATGTGTTGGTATCTAAACTTGGATCAAAAAGGTTATGGTCACTAAGTCATACATAAAAAAATGCTTATTGTGGAGCAGTAGATTAACCTTTTTTAGTGTCCATCATTATAATTAATTAACATGTTGTTGTTTCTTTTAAATTTATGTGGTATCAGTAAATCAAACAGGGAAAATACTTATTATCTTAAATATTAATATTAACAAGTCAACAACATTGTTTTTCAGGCAAACGATAGTTTTTCAATGGTTTATTCTGCGGGTAGAGACAAAAGGGTCTGGGCAACTGATGTTAGAAATAACGATTACAGATGTTTAGTTTGTGAAGAAAAAGAACCAGTTTTAAAGGTACTTTGTAGCTGTATGGTTTATGTTTTTATGATAGTTTATGTACGGTAAAGACTTTGTGTACAAGGTCAAGAATATTTTATTTATGGCTACTTTTGATTTACATGGAAAATTTGTTTAAATTGAGATGAGTTATGATTTATTGAGAGAGAAAAAAAGAGGGAATTGATACATTGAAGATCATCATGCTTTGTTCAAAATAGTCTTCAAGTTGCTTAGATAAATTTAAGAAGCCTGTTAAAGGCAGTTGAAAGGGGCATCCGTGGCCGAGTGTTAATCTCTTTGATAACCGCTTGCCCCTCACTGCTGTGGGTTCCCGAATCCTGACAGGGACTTTGAATTATTTCATGTGAGGAAGCTATCCTGCTAGCTTACTGAACTTCGGTGGTTCAACTCAGGTACCCGTTCTTGCCTGAAATAATGCAGGATAGGGCACCAGAGGTCCTTCTCCACAAGTAAAACTGGAACGTTGCCATATGACCCATACTGTGTTAGTGTGATATAAAACACAATAAAACAAACAAACAAATAAAGGCAGTTGAAAACAAATAAACCTGTCAAGGGACATGGCAATGGAATGCTATTTTTGAACAACTTTTTTATGCCCCCAAAAGGGCGGCATATTAAAGTCACACTGTTTGTTTGTCTGTGTGTCCACTTACACAGCATTCTTTATCTAAGAACCAGTGTATTATTTTTACTTTTACTTTATTTTCAGTTGGAGTTAACCAATAATGAACCACAGTCCCTATGGGTTTCTACCACAAGTTCCAGTATCAAAAATTATGTAAGATACCTTGAAAAATAATTGTTACTACAGAAACTATTCATCACTATTGTACAGTTTTACTTCTTAATAAAATCTGATTCAGCTTAATTTTATACTGAGGAAAAGTTCCAGATAAAAGTACTATAATTTCAAATAAATTACTAGCCTTTCATGTATCACATATTCTGTCTGATCTTAATTAAGAAATTAAGTTTATTTAAATTACTAAAATCATCCCATTTGACCATTACAGTACATAAGCAATACACTGCCTCTTACAATATATTTTAGAACATTCTAAGATGTTGGAAATAAGTAAAAAATTATATATGAAAATATGATTTTTCTTTGTAATATTTCAGACTTTAAAGAATGTAAATAAACAGTTGATGTCTACGTTAGAAAATGTCTCACTACCACCAGTCTGTTCACAACCAGAATTTACAATAAAAGGTTTGTTTTTACACTTTTATAATGTATTGTTAATATTTCTTTGAAAAATGTACCGACTACATAATTGTGTACAATTGTAACATGTTGTTTATCTTGATTTTTGGGCATCCGTTGCTGACTGGTTAAGATAAGTATCTAATATCAACTTGCCCCTAACTGCTGTTGGTGAGAATCCTTCATCAGACTTTTTCGCCTTTTTGGATTCATTGTAGAGTGGCTATCTAGTTACCATGTGGATGGTAGGCAGTTCTACACAATTTGACTGCTCATGTCTGTAAAGAATACATGAAGGTGCTTTTGAGGCCTAGCAGTTTTCTTGTTGTCAATACTAACGTCAGTTTGATAAAAAGAAATTTTGTAGCAAATAATTATTATATAATTATTATAAATTATCATTTCAACATGTGATTAAGTTGCGTTGATGAATATGATCTATATAATATACGTAGACTGGAGGTGCTTTAGGATTTTACCAGATTAGATCACAGAATTTTGACAAGGGGTAATGCATTGTCCAAAGGGGATTGACATTATACTACTTAGTCCTTGACCCCCAACCTACCCTCTGAGCCAAAGGATGGTTTATGGCTGAATATGGCTTACAATTATAAAGAAAAAAATGTTAAGAATATATGTGTATAATTAAACCTAGGAGATTAAGTTAAGTATGTTGATTTAATATGATTATTTAGAATTTCTCGATGAATGCATAAACAGTCTTTGATCATTTGAAATATATGTAAATGAATATGTGTAAATTATCTTTTTGATTATGTTAACAATGTTGAAGAATGTATAAACAGGGTGATAATGTTTCAGGTGGTTCAAGTATACGACAGTATTACGTTTTGAATGACAAGCGACATATTTTAACCAAAGATACAGAAGAAAATGTAGCGCTATGGGATGTTTTAAGTGTAAGTTTTGTTGACTTTTTAATCGGCAGTTTTTTGCGTTTGATTTTGAACAACTTGCACCTCACTGCCTTTCATTAAGATTGTTTTTGCATTACATTATTTGCATTTTACATCTTTTACAAATTCTAAAATCCAGAGAAATGTCCTTTTTGAGAAAACCATGAAATTTCTTGCCCATAAAATCAAGTGAATTCATAATATGTTGGTAGTAAATTGGATGGAAAAGCTAGAAGTTCCTTCCTGTCAGCAAAAAAAAATTTCTTTGGCTCTGTATCTGGAACATTGGTCATGTGAAATGTATGCATGTGAATTACTTATATGCTAGTATAAACTCATATAAAGGAGACTTCAACGGTGAGTGGTTACAGTAACTGACTTGCATTGTTCAGATAACTGCTGTGGGTTTGAATCCTGTCCAGAACTTCTTTCATATTAGGAAGCTATCCAGGCAGCTAAGGAAATTTTGATTTCTATTCAGGCGCCGACTTGTGCCTTAAATAGTTAAGCTGGAAATTCACGTAAGATACTGAACAAAGTCTGTTCAACATAAAGACCAACAAAAAACCCACCTCTAATATAAGCTATCTGATAATAAACATAATTTTGATTTTGAGAATAGAGGAGATTCCATTTTTCTTTTAAAATTTGAATATATTGAGAATATTATATTTTACATTTGGTTTATTTAGGCCCGAAAAGTTGAAGATCTTGGAAAAGTTGATTTAGAAGAAGAAATTAAAAACCGATTTAAAATGGTGTATGTACCTAATTGGTTTTCAGTGGATCTTAAAACTGGGGTAAGTCTTTTAGTTATAAAATATCTAAAATGTGCAATATTTGATCCACACTTAAGTTTTAAAAAAGTACCAATGAATTCAATTTTTGCATGTTAGATGCTTATCACGTGAAGAAAGAAGGGCTGGGAAATTATTTGTCAAAAGAGTAGCAAAAGTAAACAAAGTCATGCTTTGACTTCCATACAAATGATTAAATCACTAGAACTGTACTAGTTGTCAAAAAGCAACATAATCAGATAATGATTCAGGGAAATGGCAATAATTAATATTAAATAATTAACATATGGCAAATTTTAATAGTACACCAAAAAAAAAAAGCTTTTTGAAAATTAAAAATAGCATTTTTGAGGCATAATGAGTCTTTAACATTAGATTATATGTCAGTCATTTCAATGTTTATCAGTGAATTTTCATTGAGATAAATTATTATACCATTATATTCATTGTAATTTAGTATATAAAATTAAATTTGAAATGGGATAAATGATATACCATTAATTATCAAATTAGATAAATTATAGAGCACTATATATCAATGAGATTAATATACTGGAAATACCAATAATTAAGATAACAGTAAATTTTATAGAATTAAATAAAAAATAAATCAGTATATTTCAAAGCAGTAAATTATGTACCAGTGATTTCAATGAAAAATAAATACTAGTACATGAAAATGTCAGTGAGCAAAATATATCATTAAATGACCCAAAAATAATATACCATTAAATGTCACTGGGATAAATATATTTTTAAATTTTTAAGAATCAGTTAACGTATCAGTATGTTTTAATTATATACCAGTAATTTTCTATGAGCTAATTTACATACCAGTATTTAACAATGAGATAAGTTATATACCAGTAATTTTAAAATGAGATAAACTTATATATTTCAGATGTTGACTATACATTTAGACGAGACAGATTGTTTCTCAGCTTGGATTTCAGCAAAGGAATTGGGAGTTAATTTACCGTCTGATGTTCCTGATACTAAATGTAAGAATCATTTTCAGATTTTTTTTACCTAACTCTTGTCAAACCTAGGTCTGTTGTAGTTTTGTTTTGGTCTTCTCCTTTTATCACCTTGGAGCTCTTTGATAACGAACTATGAGAGGGGTGTCCATGGCAAAGTGGTTAAGGTCATTGACTTCAAAGTTGAAACCACATACCCCTTACCCAACTAGGTCACTGAATGTCGGTGGTTCTACACGGGTGCTCTTCTGTGCCTGAAATAATACAGGGAGGGAAATCTTATGTATTCATAAAAGCTGGAAAGAAAATATTAAGCAACCATTTGTTTAAATAATGTTGAGGCTACATGTATATGCAAGCTGACCTGGCTCTTTACTGGTAGCTTTGGTCTGTTATTATCATAGTTAGAATCCACAGTCTTTTTTTTTTTTTTTTTTTTTTTTTTGAGGCCCCAACTGGGTAACCCCGTTTATTCACCCCGTAATAGGTATGAGAGGGTCGGGGTCATCCCCCACATACCTTACATTAATTATACATGTATATCACATTGTAATATTTACAAACAAAATATCATAATATACCTTAAATTTTATCATATTAACATTATAATTAAAGCATACAAATAGTATATTTTACACATGTATGTAAGTAAACAAAAGAGAACCTAACATAAATATAGAATGTCAGTGTAATTTATTCGATTAATAATCTTACAATTTGCCATCTTTTAATTTCAGTGTCAGTCAAATTGGTATTTTTGTAAATAGTCCAGGCTAATTTAAGGCTATTTTTAAAGCCAATACATGTGGGTAACAATTTTTTTCTCTTAGACAAATATATGTATTTTTTCAATTCTAAAAACAATATATCATATTCGAAGTCCTTATCTTCAGAACCTAAAATAAAAGATTTACAGTTGAAAATATTGTCAAAATTATGTATGTTACTTTGCAAATATTGGAAAAGAGACTGAATTTTTGACATTCCCAAAATAAATGTATAAGTGTTTGAATTCTTCTTGACAGTTACAGAAAGTACACATTTTATTATCAACAATTTTCATTTTAAACAGCATTGAGTTTGTTGCTAAAGTTCTGTGAATTATTCTAGTCTGAAACCACTGAATGTATGAATCTTTGGTACATTTAAATACATAACTATATATCAATGGCCAGTTTATATTATTATCTATAAAGTATGTGTTCCATTTTTCCTTACTTGTTGGTACATCTGTATTTTTAACAAAAGTTTCATACAGGTATTTCTTATTGCTATTTGTAATAATAATAGGTTTGATAAAACAGTTTACAATAGGATATTGAACATTTAGCAAATCAGTATTAATGGTAATATTTAGCTTTAGCATGTAAGATTTTATAGCCTGTTTTAAACCATGATATTCTAAAAAATTAACTTGTTTGCCTATACACTGTTCTAAAAGATTCAACTCAATAAAATCACCTTGTTCATTAAGAATATCTTTCACAAATCTTATTCCTTTGTCATAAAAAGATTTCATGTAGATATATCTATGTCCTATTGAAAAGCAATGGTTGTAAAACAGTGGCATACGTAATATTTGTTCGAAGTTATCTATACAAAGTTTATCAACAAAGATCATGTAAGCTTTCAAAACATCAATCCAGAAAGCATTCTTAATCTTATTATTAATTGACATACAATACATTTTTCCAAAATTAAAAACTTTATCAATATTAAACAATGAGTTCACAAACTTATAACATTTACTATCACAATTGCTAACATATCTTTTAAGCCATTTTATTTTTAAAGAATGAACATAACTACTAATATCTACCATGTTAAGACCACCTTCTTTGTATGTTTTAATGATTACAGATTGTTTAATTTTTGCCTTACCTTCCCATATGAAATCATAAAATAAATCATTAAGTGTTTTCAAAAAAGCAGTATTAGGTGTAGGTAGGCTTGTAAAACAATGAGTAAATAAAGGAAGCAATATTGACTTAACAACAGTGATTTTTCCTAGTGGAGTTAATACCCTTTTTTTCCAATGACTTAAATACTATTTTTTACTTTCTGTAGCAATTTCATCAAATTTTAGAACAATCATTTTTTCTAAATGAACATCAAAAGTTAGTCCTGATAGTTTAAACTGTGTGTCACCCCATGTTAGTTTCCACCTTGTCTTAATTGATCTAGTACTATATTTAAGAGAGCCTATCCAAATAATCTTAGTTTTGTCAAAATTTATCTTTAAACCTGAAATTTCTGTAAATTTATTTAACAAATTTAAAGCAGTATTAAGTGATTTTTCTGAACCATCCAAAAGAAGTGATGTATCGTCCGCAAACTGAGATATTTTATATTCCTCGCCATCTATTTTTATACCTTTAACATCTTTACATTGTCTTATTTTAACTGCTAAAATTTCTGCACACAGAATAAAGATATAAGGTGAAATTGGATCACCTTGTCTACAACCTCGTTTAATTTTAAAAAAATTGGATAAAAAACCATTTAATATTACACAAGTTTCAGTATTATATAAAAACAAAGAAATCCATTTCCTAAACATTGGACCAAAATGAAATAATGAAAGACATTTCTCTATAAATGTAAACGATAAAGTATCAAAAAGCTTTTTCAAAATCAATCATCATTAATAAACCTGGTATATTATTATCTTCAGTATATTTCATTATATCATACAATAATCTAGTATTTTCACCAATGTACCTATTTTTAATGAAACCAGTTTGATCTTTTGACACTAAAATATCTAAAACACTTTTAAGTCTGTTTGCTATATTACCTGAGGCTAATTTATATACTACATTTAATAAAGTAATCGGTCTCCAATTTTTTAAAAAATGTTTAGGTTTATTTTGTTTTGGAATGCATGTAATTGTTCCTAATTTTTGATTTCTAGAAAATGAATTAACCTTGTATGCATAATTAATAGCTTTCACCACAAAATGTCCAATTCTATTCCAAAAGTTTTGAAAAAATTTACTGTAAATCCATCACACCCAGGGCTTTTATCATTTTTCATATTTTTTAAATGTAAAGGAGACTTCATCATATGAAAGGAGACCTTCAAGCTTGAGTGATTCACTATCAGACAGCATATTAATATCACAATCCCTCAATTCTCTATCAATATTACAATCATTCAAAGTTACATTTTTGTATAAGTTTTCATAATAAGCACTAGTTTCTTTTAGTATATCCTTTTGATCATAAATAAAAGTTCCATCATCAAGTTCCAGAAAAGGTATTGTCTTAGCTGAACAATGTGATTTCTCTAAATTTAAAAAGTAATTAGAAGGTTTTTCTCCAGATTCAATCCATTGTGACCTTGACCTAATCATAGCACCCTTTATTTTATTGTTTCTTAATTCAGTCAATTCGTTTTGTAAATGTAGAAGTTTGTCTTTATTATCATTTGTTAAGTTTTGTTCTAGAAAAATAATTTCTTCAAATAATTTTTTTTCAAATGTATTTCTTTCTTTAGCCTTAAAAGAGCTATAGGAAATGGATTTACCTCTAATTTCCATTAAAAGTGTCTCTAAAAAAAGTTCATCATTAATAAAAAAGTCTATATCTTTATTGTTTATATTCAAAACATAATCTATATTATATACAGGTAAACAATATTGCAATTTTATTTCATCTATTTTCTTATTAATGATATCAAGGAATTCAATGTCATGTAAAAGAGCATCATTAAATTTCCCTAAACCTTTTCCATGATTAACAGGAACAAAACAAAAATCCAAATTTATCATTGAATGATCAGATCTATAACTAGCATCAATGTCACATTTACGTACAAACTGATATAAATTTTTTTGTTATAAGAAAAAAATCTGATCTACCTTGCTGTATTGGGTTGGTGCGTCTCCATGTATATTTTTTTATATCACCATGTAACTCTCTAAAAGGATCAATAAGTTCTTTATCTTCAATAATACTGAGTAAAAAATTTCTAGCCTTCACATTATTATTCTTTGATTTATAATTATAGTAGTCCAGGTCTGGATTTTGAACAAGATTATAATCTCCACAAATTATTAGAGAGTCATTTTCATCAGAACAATTTAATATATCAAAAATATATCTTAAGAAACTAGGACTATCTGTATTTGGTGCATATATATTAACTAATGTAAAATTTATGGAATCCAATGAAATACCTAACATTATAAAACTTCCAGAGTCATCAGTTTTAACAAAATTTATTTTAATATCTAAATCTTTTCTACATAAAATGGCCACACCTTTTGCATTAGATTTACAATGACTAAAATAACATAAGCCATTCCATTCAGAATAAATTTTCTTTTCAAATTCTTTAATAAAATGTGTTTCTTGCAGACAAAGTATATCAGCATATTTTGTATGAAATAGATTAAAAACATCACGCCTCTTGATGCTGTCATTTAAACCACGGTAATTGTAAGAAAAAATTTTAAGATTACTCATTGCTAATTTTTACAAAAAAACATTCATCATTATATCTAAAATACATATAAACATTACACTTGACTAAGTTAAATATATATACCCAGTGGGACAGTTTAAACAAACATACAGACCTCAAAAACATAGTGTAATATGGTGGCATATAAAAAAATTACACTTTACTGCAAAAAAATAAGAGAAAAAAAAAAAGATAGTAAAAGTTGTGTTAAATATAAATGAATGGTGCAAAAATATGTTACTGTATTTTCTTTTCATTTATATCAATATATTTTTTTCTCACTTTTCTTAATAATAAATGTACCGGAAACCATAAGCATTCACTGTGATTAATTAAATTGCATATTTCAGTATGTTTTGATTACAACAATAAAATAAACTAAATAACCACCGGGCTGGGAAAGGGGCCCTGAAATCAACCAGAGCACCTCCCTGGCAACGTAAAATGCAAGCACTTTTCCTCTCTGCCAAAGCAGGGCGCCCCCAGGGTGCCGGGGACAATACTAGCCACCCTCTTAATCAGTATATTGATAAGATAGGAGGCTGGAGATGTCCCTGACCCCATATCCAGCAAAGGATGTGATTATAGAGTAATCAGTTTAAGGCACGTTTAAAACAGGGTAAAGAATAAAATACAACAAAAAAAAAACAAAACAAAAAAAACGACCAAAAACCAAAAAAACAATAAAGCATACCAAAAGATGTGTGTCAATGAAAAGTTCCAAGATAAGATAATTTCATAAGATAATAAGATAATGGCAAGAAAAAGTAATTATCTAATAATAATTTTTGTAAGGGAGGCAATTTAAATTGCTGTATGACCATTGAAATTATTACAAGTATTTACAAACAGCTTTCAACCATAAACAAAATAGTTGACACATGTACAGAGAACAATACAAACAATATTATACTTCCAAAATCTTAACTAACATTATACATACACATATATCTACACATAACCATATTCCTCCACATATATATGCACCTGTATACACACTTCCATACTTATACACATATATATACCGGTACACGTACACACATACGTATACCCCCATATATACATATAATTACATAAGTACATACACACAATGGGGATCACATATATATATAAATTCTAGACAGAGTAGACAAGTTTCCTACATACAGTAAAGTAATAGTCTGAGTGAATCTGAAATGGTTCAAGGGAGGAAACTTTTGTTATGAAATGAAGAATATTATTTACTTTTTATGTCCCTTGAATTTTGATTGGTATCACTGTCACATAAAAATTGTAAACTTTTGACTGTAATTGAAGGATCAATTATAATTCAAGAATTATTATAAAAAATATGTTACCAATTATTATAAGTTTCAATATATTTTCTTAAGTATGTCATCAATCCACAGTCTTAGGGCTACAGATAATTTGTCCATCTCAGACATTGAATACACCAGGAACAGTGGTATTCAAAGGTTATGGTCCATGTAAAGTTTGTTATATTTCAGCTGTTAATGTTTTGCATATAAAACTTTTTGTGCTCCCCGAAAAATTTCGGGGGAGCATATATTCGTCGCCTTGTCCGTCTGTCCGTCCGCCTGTCTGTCTGTTTTCTTGTCCGGAGCATAAATTGAAAACCCTTGGAGATAATTTGTTTAAACTTCATACAGTGGTAGAGGGCATTGAGGGGGAGTGCAGTGTCAAAGAACCATAACTCTATTTTGCCCAGTTATTGAATTATCTCCCCTTATAGAAAAATCTTGTCCGGGACATAACTCTAAAACTATAAGAGATATCAACGTGAAACTTTGTAGGTGAATAGATCTCAATGGGTAGATGTGCAGTGCATAAGACCAATAGCTCTTTTTGTCCTAATTTTGGAGTTATTGCCCTTTGTTAATTTCAACACTTTGAACTTTGTCCGGAACATAACTCTAAAACTATATGAGATATCAAGATGAAACATTGTAGGTAGATAGATCTCATTGAGTAGAAGTGCAGTGCAAAAGGACCATAACTCTGTTAAGCCTCATTTTTGAATTATCTCCCCTTATAGAAAAATCTTGTCCGGGGCATAACTCTAAAACTATATGAGATATCAACATGAAACTTTGTAGGTGAATAGATCTCAATGGGTAGATGTGCAGTGCATAAGAACAATTACTCTTTTTGTCCTAATTATGGAGTTATTGCCCTTTGTTAATTTTAACACTGAACTTTGTCCGGAACATGATTCTTAAATTATAAGAGATATCAAGATGAAACATTGTAGGTAGATAGATCTCATTGAGTAGAAGTGCAGTGCAAGAAAACCATAACTCTGTTAATCCTCATTTTTGAATTATCTCCCCTTATAGAAAAATCTTGTACTGGACATAGCTGTAAAACTATAAGAGATATTAACATGAAACTTTGTAGGTAGATGTATCTCAATGGGTAGATGTGCAGTGCATGAGAATCATAACTTTGCCTTGCCTAATTCTTGAGTTATTGCCGTTTGTTTATTTTTACTTTTTGAAGTTGTCCGGATCATAACTCGGAAACCATAAGAGATATCAACAAGAAACTTTGTAAGTTGATTGATTACATTGATTACAAGTGCAGTGCAACAAACAGTAACTCTGCCTTGCCTAATTTTGGAATTATTACACTTTGAACTTTTTCCAGGAACATAACTCTGAAACTACAAGAGGTGTACTTTCCTGTATTCAAAACCTATTCGGGGAGCATCACCCAACTCAAACCAGACTCTTGTTACATAAGTATTTGCATGTATCATTTGGTTAAAAAAATGTGCTTGGCTCTAAATTGGATGCAAAGGCTTGTCAATCGGTTCCTGCTGGTAAAGGATTCAATACTTAATTTCTGAAGTAATATAACATTACTGCTTAAAATAATTAGCAGTGTCATTATGCATATAATAACAAGTTTTTTTTCCTGTTCTTATTTCAGTAAATATTGGACAGCAGCTGTTACAAGCCTTGTTAGATAATTGGCCAAAGACACACATATTTGAAAATCAAGGTATGGTAGCCTATAAATAGCATTGATAGAGCAAGCATATATAAAATCATCAATATTTAATATATTTATATGATAGAGAAAAAAATAGCTGCATTGGAGTTGTATTAATTTTACATTTGAAGGAATGGTACAAAACTGTTGTAATTCTTTATGTCTTATGCAATATTGAGTGGACAAATAATGTTAAATATAATTTTGCAAAGTTAGTCTCACCTTTCTTACTTATACTCTTGTCACTTTCATGAGGAATTAAGACTGCCAAACACTTTGCAGAATTACTCCCCTTTTTTCTACATTTCCTTTATTAATTACATTTTCTAGCACTGAGAAAAGTGAAGTATGCTATTCACACAGATCTTGATTTAATTCTTTTATGGAGCATTGATAGATGTAACTTAAAACACAATTGCTAATATAATTTATACATATTCAGATTTTTTCATAGTACATGTATTTGATTGTTTGCTTCTAAAGAAATTTAAAAAATGAATATACTTGTACAAGTTGTATCCTGTTCTGTATAGATCAGGTTTCTGGATGTAAAACTATTATATAATATTTTCAGAAAATATTAATGGAAATGAGAACGAAGTGCAATCACCGTTAGGAAATTATTTCCGGGTTCCTGGTCACACACCTGTTATATTTAGGTAAGAGCAGTATTTTTATATAATTATTAATACCAAAAATTAGAATACTGGTGATATTGCAACTAAAATTTCATAGTCTTTAGACTTGTGGAATTTCAGAGCTGATATCTCTTCAAAATAAAAACATATAGAAAGCCATGGTTTTGACAGAAAAAGGGAAAGAAATGATAAAGTTATTGGAGCATAGGTTGAAGTTATTTACTTTGGATTGACTAAAAATGTATGTTTTTCAATTCTAGTACAGAAGGGCATATCAATGTTGACAACTCCCTCAGCTCACATAAGACATATAGAGCAGTAAAAAGATGTAAAGTGTATTGGTTATACCTAAAAACTATTTTATCTATTTATACATAGAGTCTATCCTGTGTTAAAGATCATTCTTTGAATAAAGATCTGTGATTAAAGACCATTTCCAACAACTGTTCATTGAGAGAACAGAGTAACCCCCCCAAATAAAAACCACTTGACTGTGAAGGTTGTGATTGGTGTCTTCTTTAGGTGGCTTATGTTAACAGGGTTGAATGTACTTATTTTAGCTTGTTTGTAATGAAGGCTTTGAAGCTTATTTTACCCACTGTTTGAGTTGAATGATATCTATTTGTGTATGTTTTTATGATACCATTTTGCATTGCAGTGAGGTCGGGCGTGGCAAAACTTTATTCAGATTACTGTGTCGTGATGCAGGTGGGGAGACAGAACAAATGTTATTAAATGAAACAGTTCCTCAATGGGTGGTAGATGTTCTTGTACATGTAAGATTATCTTTTATTTGTTGATTAAAGACTTTGAAATTAACAATCGTAATATATATATGATCAAAATAAATTATACTTCCAGATTAACACTATTAGCTCGACTATTCATGATGATTTTAAGCTTGTCTATTTGAAGGAAAGGGAGAGCTATTGTACTTACCCAGGCGTCGGTTTTGGCAACAACGTCACACTTTGGTTAGTTTTTGCTTGGAAGTTGGTATAGCCAAAACTGTTAAAGGAATAGGTTGAAACTGAACAAATGAGTGAATCATGCACTGAGAATAGTTTAGCACCAAGCTCTTGTTGCTTTGATACTGTAACTTCAATAATGCTTTTTACTATTCTGTTACCAGGGTAACTCACCAAAATCAAACAAGATTCCGTTCTTTCTACAACCTCATCAGAGTATGGGACAGAAAATCGTCATGAAGAAGTAAGTTTACTGGTTTTGTTACTGCACTTTTTAGACATAAGAAATTATTCTTACCATTTTCATGTAAATACAACATCTTTGATAAATGTTTACTTGCATAATGAAATGGTGAGTTATTAGGCAGGTGGTGGCCTCTGTGGCCAAGTGGTTAAAGTCTCCTAATCTCAAATCACTGTAGGAATGAATCCAACTGTGAATTGTTTCATGCTAGGAATCTCTTCTCTACCTAGCTTTTTGAACAATGGTGGTTCTGTTCAGGTCAGATGCCTGCCCATGTTGCAGTGTAATAATGCACTATGGGACGTCTGAAAACTTTCTCAACCAGTAAATCTGAAATGTTTCCTAATGACCTTTACAGTGGTGGTGTGACATAAAACCCAAACTTTGTCTTACTATATTCTCCCAAATTTCAGTTACATAAGTTATATAACTACATCATAAACATGTGCATCATAACATCTTTGGCCTAATGGTTAAGGTTTTTGACCTCAAACCACTTGCCCCTCGTTGATGTGGGTTCAAATCCCTGCAGGGACTATGGACCCTTTTCATGAGAGGAAGGTAGCTAGCCAGCTAGCTGAATATTGGTTGTTTTATTCAGGTGACCATTAATGCCTGAAATAATGCATGGAAGGGCACCTGAGGTCTTCCTCCACCAGTAAAACTGGAAAGTCTCCATAGGCCTTCCATGTGGCCTACTGTGTTGGTTCATGTATATAGTATGTGATGTAATGATTTACCAATAATCATGCACTTTCATTAATACAGGGACCGATTATCAGCTAGTGATATGATCCAAGTCCGGAAGGTAATAGAACATGTGTACGAAAAGGTTTTAGGTCAAGGATCTGATGCAGGGTCCCAGGCAGCTAATGGTGGGAACCAGGAGAAAAGCGAGGAATTAGAGGACAGCTCAGCCGTTGCTGAGGAAAAGGTAGAACTACTGTGCAATGAACAGGTAAGAAAATTACATGTTATATATGTTGTTTTTTTGTAGTTAAGAGTGTACCTAAGATCAGTTTGTCACATGGTGAGAAAAATGTGCAGCCTGACCTGGACTCGAACTCGGGACCCTGGGAATACTGTTGTTCATCTCTACCAACTGAGCTATCCAGCTGCTTATACATTGTTTCTAAATAGTGAATAGTTCCGAACCATGATATGTAAGATAAGATAACTTTTGAATAGGCAGATGTAAAAAAGAAGGTATTTATAATTTTAAAGTTGCATTATGCCAAAGAAATGAATAAAAACTTTCCTATTAAGGAAAGGCGAATCTGTGTTTTATAATTTGATAATTAATTTAGAGCATTTTAGCTGTTTACCATATAATGAAAGCAGTGTTTAATGTAACATGATTTGTCATATACATGTACGCATAACATAAAAGCAGCATGATGTAAATTAAGTAGTATTTTGGTTTCCATACTAAATCACTATAACTTTACTTATAGCAAAATTGATCTAGGGCATTGAATGCTTGTCTTGTACTTCACTGTTAATCAAGTAATCCTATGATACCTGTAGTGGGTCACTAGCTGAGAAAATGTTAAGTACTCAATTTACTGGTTAGTTATCAAGGAAAACCAGTATGTTGGATTAAAGGTTAACCACCAAGATTTGATCACAAATGTGTTAAAAAATAGGGGAGTGAAAGCAAAATAACAAATCTCTGTTTGAATGGGATATTGAATAAATGAGCAGCATCATGACAAAACCAACATAATGGCTTTGTAGGGGTGCAACGATACAGCCAAACCCGTATTGCGATATATTGCGATATAGACAGCCTGTATTGCGATACGTATTGTGGTACAGTGTATACTAAAATAATTAAAGAAAACAGTAAAACGTAAGCTATATTTCAACTCTTCTTATTATTCTTTTAGAACACATACATGTATCTATAGAATGAATAAGTACCCTGTGTCCTTGAGGCTTTTTAAATGTTTTTCTTAACAGTTTCAGAAAAGTACATACGTGACGGTAGGTCGTATCTAGGGTCTAAAACACGAATCATATCCTTAAATCCATCATTTGAGACAACACTAAACGGTCGAAGATCATTAACAATGAATTTTCCGACGGCTTGCGTTATGTCCTTATACCGCTGACTTGTAGGCTTGTATTTGGAAGTCTGCCCAAAAGAACTTATAATTGTCGGCTACTTTACGGTTGACGCTGTTGCCGCGATCAAACTAGTACCAGACTTGCATGCACCTTGTTGCAGATTGATTTTGTGGTGTCGAGTCAAATGTGTATTTAGATTTGTGGTCCCTCCGCTGTAGCGAATATCCATCTTACATTTTTTACAAACAGCTATGCCGTCCTCAATTTTTCCTGTAGATTTTCTTTTTTTTAAGTTGAATTAAACCCATATTTTACTTTTAGCTTTCTCATTTTCAATTAGTTTAAAATCTTTTTCCATTTTTTTATTTCAGTTAATCAACAATTTTAATCAGTCCTAACTTAAATTGCGTAACTGTGTGTAATTTAATAAAGCGTGATCAAAGCCGCACTCTGAAAATGACGTCACATGATTCTGCTACTCGCGCGGTAAGATCAAAGAGCTTCGTCAGGAAAAGTTCGCGGCGGCGTTTCTTTATACATCACAGGGATCGACTAGTGTCGGCAATCTTTTCATGTTTCATTGATGTTTTGTTTTTGATGTCGTAAATCGTTGCTTACTGATTCAAAATTGAAGTTTCTACATTCATGTTATTTCGGCATAAATATTAAAGAAAAAACCGCAATACAGGGCAGCTGCACCGCGGTACGTATCGACCCGAGACTGTATTGCAATATACCGGTATACCGGTATATCGTTGCACCACTATGGCTTTGCGACCAGTATGGATCCAGATCAGCCTGCGCATCCACACACTCTGATCAGGATCCATGCTGTTGCTTATCAACTCTATTTCAAGTAGAGAAACTGATAGCGAACAGCATGGATCCTGATCAGACTGCGTGGATGCGCAGGCTGGTCTGGATCCATGCTGGTCGCAAACCCATTATGTTGGTTTTGTCGTAACGCGGCTGATATCTGCTTATATTCTCTTTTTTAAATGCAAAATCTTTTTGGAAATAACTTTTTTGCAAGAGGGCTTTCCAATATTCACTGGAAGTGTATATATATTGATTCATTGTAAAGCTTAAAATGCATTTAGATAAATGTGGCATCTGTTTTCCTTTCTTTCCTAGGTTTTGAACCCCAATATGGATCTGAGAACTGTGAAACATTTTATCTGGAAACAAGGTGGTGATTTAACATTACATTACAGACCACTTAAAACTTGAAAGTTCCCTCAGGATGTTAGTGTTGTTCTTAACTAAAGAAAACAAAATTTGACATCTGTGGCCTGCCATAGTTTTAACACAGTGTATGTGATATAGTTGGAACTGTTCATGAATACTTCAATATTTCAGCTGCAAAAAAAAGGAATTAGCATATTGCATAATTGTATACTTATGGAGTATACATGTATATATTATGGTGAACACTGTCTTTGCTTGTGAATTGTATTTATTGTTAAAACCATGAAGATATTTTATTTATCATATCTATATGTATTTTATATTATTAAGTGACACAGAACATCACTGATCATCTGTTGTCAGTTTCCATATACAGTCAATCCTGTGAACAAAACCACCCAAAGGAGAGACCAAACATGACCTTTATAGACAAACGGTCTTTATTTGGAGGTTATTCCCTTCTATATAATGAATGGTTGTTGAAGAGTGGTCTTTATTTACAGGGTTATCCTTAATTGCAGATGGTCTTTAAAATATTTTAACTGTATATGTTAAAACATCATAATTATCTTGATTTTGTTAGCAAGGATATGATCAAAACTGTGTTTAAATCAAGTGCTAAAACAAAATACACAAACAAACATTATTTGAACAACTCTCAAGTCAGACTGGCTCTATATAGGCAAATTTCACTGCCATTAATAAGGCAAATGCCATGAATATTTTCTGTAATTAAAATAAATTGATATATTACTGAAACACTTCTTATATTCTTATATATTTGCCTATGTTTTAAAATTATTTGCTATATTTTTCTTGCAGAAAAGGTTGTCTAAACACATTAAATTGTTATATAATAACAATCTGACAAGAATTTTATTGCTACATTCGCAGTACCATCAAATGTGAAAAATTCCTGTAGGAATCCTGCATTTTGGCTTGAAATTTTTTTATTTCCTATAATTTTTTTTTTAAAAGGCTCGGAGTAAAGCGATTTTGTGTATTCTGATGGCTGCATTTGTTTGATATAGAATATGTAATTGATGGCACAAGCTGATTGTTAAAATGATTTAGTCCTTAATTTTTTAGCTTTTAATTTTGCCATTTTTCACCATTATCACCACCATTTTCATTATCATCATTATCATCATCATCACCATTATCATCAGCATTTTATTTTGTCATCAAAGTCATCAAAATCTGCATTTATTGAAATTTTAAAAGACAAGTTGAGAAGTACATGTAGCAACGTTTTAGTATGAAACAAAAAAGCAATTATTGTGAAATTAGATATTTTTGCGAGGCCAACCTTTAGCAAGAACAAAGTTTTGGAATCATTCTTGATTATTTTATCTATCATTTCTGTTAATAATTTATATGGTATATACTTAATAAACATCAACAAATTTTAATAACTTCAAATTCACAAACTGAGCAAACTCAAATCCTTTGGAAATAATTTCTGATTTTACGGTATGCTCAAGGAAACATCAGCTGGGTCCTGGCGAGAGTTGAACTAATGTAGTTAGAGAGTCCTAGATTACTAGTCTGAAGTATTAACCACTACACCTATGCCGCCACTTTTTGGTCTTGTTTTATCAACATCAATTTTATTTTTGCATCTACTCATGCACTTAAATAATTGAATTCATATCATGGTCTTTGAATAGGGAACAAGCCCAAATGCATGACTGCAATTTTTATTTTTCATGGTCCATGTCAGTAAAGCCTTAATACATGAAGGCAAAATCTTTTTTTTTTTCTTATTTTTCATGGTCCACATCAGAAAACCTTAATGTATGATGCATTTTAACAAAATTGTGACTGTACCATGGGATTTAATGTGGGAAAGCCCACATTTGCTGGATAACTTGAGAGTTACTTTTACATTTGTGCCAACTGATACTAGTTAAATTTAGTTAATAACACTGCTGTGTAACTTCAGGTTATAAAACCATTTTACATGTTGGCTTTTTTTAAGTTGAAACATATAATCATTTTATTTTTATGTGAATCCAACCTCAAATTAGTTAGTCATTTCAGTGCACTGCTTTGTAATTCTAAAAGAATGGCCAAACCATTTTGCTTATTGATGGAAAATATATATATATGTCTTGCAGTCATGAAAAAACTGAAAGTATCAGTTTCAGGTAGAATTATTGAAAAATTAGTATTTTTATTTTATCAAAAGTTTATCTTTAGTAGACTGATGTCAAAAAATACATCAAACACAGGTCGAATTGTCTTCTTGTTTTTAGCTCACCTGTCACAAAGTGACAGGGTGAGCTTTTGTGATCGCTTTTCGTCCGGCGTCCGTCCATCCGTCGTCCATCCGTCCGTCCGTCCGTAAACTTTTACTTTAAATGACATCTCCTCATAAACCACTAAGCCAATTTTATCCAAACTTCACAGGAATGTTCCTTTGGTGGTCACCTTTAAAAATTGTTCAAAGAATTTAATTCCATGCAAAACTCTGGTTGCCATGGCAACCGAAAGAAAAAACTTTAAATATCTTCTTTTAAAAAACCATAAAAGCTAGAGCTTAGATATTTGGCATGAAACATCATCTAGTGAGTGTCTACCAAGTTTGTTCAAATAAAAGCCCTGGGGTCAAAATTGGCCCCGCCCCGGGGGGTCATTGATTTTCCCTATATGCATATAGTAAAAACTTAAAAAATCTTCTTTTAAAGAACCCAAAGAGCTAGAGCTAAGATATTTAGCATGAAACATGTTCTAATTGGTGTCTACCAAGTTTGTTCAAATAAAAGCCCTGGGGTCAAAATTGGCCCTGCCCCGGGGGTCATTGATTTTCCCTATATGCATATAGTAAAAACTTAAAAAAACCTTCTTTTAAAGAACTCAAAGAGCTAGAGCTTAGATATTTGGCATGAAACATCTTTTAGTGAGTGTCTACCAAGTTTGTTCAAATAAAAGCCCTTTGGTCAAAATTGGCCCCGCCCCGGGGGTCATTGATTTTCCCTATATGCATATAGTAAAAACTTAAAAAAATCTTCTTTTAAAGAACCCAAAGAGCTAGAGCTAAGATATTTAGCATGAAACATGTTCTAATGGGTGTCTACCAAGTTTGTTCAAATAAAAGCCTTGGGGTGAAAATTGGCCCCGCCCCGGGGGTCATTGATTTTCCCTATATGCATATAGTAAAAACTTAAAAATCTTCTTTTAAAGGACTCAAACAGCTAGAGCTTAGATATTTGGCATGAAACATCTTCTAGTGTGTGTCTACCAAGTTTGTTCAAATAAAAGCCCTGGGGTCAAAATTGGCCCCGCCCCGGGGGGTCATTGATTTTTCCCTATATGCATATAGTAAAAACTTGAAAAATCTTCTTTTAAAGAACCCAAAGAGCTAGAGCTAAGATATTTAGCATGAAACATCTTCTAATGGGTGTCTACCAAGTTTGTTCAAATAAAAGCCCTGGGGTGAAAATTGGCCCCGCCCCGGGGGGTCATTGATTTTCCCTATATGCATATAGTAAAAACTTAAAAAATCTTCTTTTAAAGAACTCAAAGAGCTATGGCTAAGATATTGAGCATCAAACATGTTCTAATAGGTGTCTACCAAGTTTGTTCAAATACAAGCCCAGGGGTGAAAATTGGCCCCGCCCCGGGGGTCATTGATTTTCTTTATATGTGTTTAGCAAAAACTTTAAATCTTCTTTGAAAAAACCCAAATAGCTAGAGTTTAGATATTCAGCATGAAACATCTTCTAGTAAGTGTCTACAAAGTTTGTTCAAATAAAAGCCCTGGGGTCAAAACTGGCCCGGCCCCAGGGGTGTCATTGTTTTTAACTATATGTGTATAGTAAAAACTAAAAAAAATCTTCTTTTAAAAAGCCCAATGAGCTAGAACTTAAATGTTTAGCATGAAACATCTTCTTATGGGTGTCTACCAAGTTTGTGCAAATAAAAGCCCTTGGGTTAAATTGGCTCTGCAACGTTGGGGGAGTGGGGGTTGGGGGGGCCTATATACAGGTGAGCGACCTCAGGGCCATCATGGCCCTCTTGTTTTTGTTTTTATTTTTTTTGGCTACAATTATATTTTATTAGCTTTCTTTGTCTTTTTGTTTTGTTGCTAAGAATAGAATACAGTATGTTGCTTTGATATTTGCATGATTTGACAGCAAGGTTGGTTAAATTGTTCAAGTATGGTTAAAGTTAGCATGGATATTTAGCAAACTGTTTGTTTTGAAATCTATTTGAGTATTGTAAATTATAATTGTTAAGTTCTTATATTTGTAAATTTAAAATTTTGTTCACATATTTTACACTGAATATGTACTGAAAAAATATGGAAATAAAATACCAGAAAACATGACTGTTGTTAGGCCTTTTATTGATAGAGATGAAATTATGATGTCTACATGTGGAAGTTCTGCACAAGTCATTTGTAACATAGTTCTTGGCGCTAAGGAATTGCAGAGGTGAAGAGTTTTGAGTCTTCGACTTGCCTCTGTCCCCACACTTACCCTTGTTTGAAATAACCTTTGTTTGAAATATTTTTAGCTCACCTGTCACAAAGTGACAGTATGAGATTTGTGATCACAATTTGACCAGTGTATTTCAGTAACTTTTACTGTAACAACATCTCATAAACTGCTAAGCCACTTTCATCCAAACTTCACAGGAATAATACTTTGGTAGTCACCTTTAAAAATTGTTCCCATGCAGAGCTCTAGTTGCTATGGCAACTTAAAGAAAAAACTTCAAAAAATCTTCTTATAAAGAATCCAAAGCTAGAGCTTAGATATTTGGCATGAAACGTCTTCTAGTTCATTGATTTTCCTTATATGGGTAAAGTAAAAACTTCAAAAATCTTCTTTAAAAGAAAACAAAGAGCTAGAGCTTAGATATTAAAAATCTTCTAAATAAATGCAACCAAGTTGATTCAAATAAAAGCCCTTGGGTCAAAATTGGCCCGTCAAAGGTGGTTATTGATTTTCCTTATAGTGTATTGTACAAACTTAAAAGACTTCTTTAAAAAAAAAACAAAGAGCTAGAGCTTAGATATTTAGGTTAAACATCTTATAGTAATTGTATACCAAGTTTGCTCAAATTAAAGACCTGGGAACATAATTGGCCAGGCCACAACTTTTTGAACTGTTGTTTTCCCTCAGCAATAGTAACCAGTAATGTTTTTACACATGCACTATTTCAGTTACAAATATGAACTTTGTGAACTACATTGTATCTGTTTAAGAAATAAACAGTTAATATGTGCAAATTTGGCAAATTTTACGGAAATTTTACTCAGAACTATAAAAAAGGCGATGAAAGATGGCCTATGAATTAGTTTTGACACATAATACAAGATGTAAGACAAGCTTTATCATTAAAGTTTAATTTAGCACCTAAAACTCACTTTTTAAAGATGAACATAACCATTTTTGACAAGTGTTTTTGAAGTATATACAAAAGTTTTCCGACAAACTCCGTGACAGTTATCACCAGAAATCCTGAAAATTTATCATAAAAACTCCGTCCCTCGTGTAACAGTTCCTCTCCCGTGTCCCTGTCGTCACAATAAGTAATCCCGAGTAAAATGAGCCAATCATGCTCTATTTTAATCCCAAAGAGACAGTGTAGTTATTAGAGTTTCACACTCCACTTAACGCACTGTGCATGTATAGTATAATGGTAATTAGAGTTCGACACTCCAGTTAACGCACTGTGCTTGTATAGTATAGTGGGAATAAGCGTTTGACACTCCAGTTAACGCACTGTGCATGTATAGTTTAATGGTAATTAAGAGTTTGACACTCCAGTTAACGCACTGTGCATGTATAGTTTAATGGTAATTAGAGTTTGACACTCCAGTTAACGCACTGTGCATGTATAGTTTAATGGTAATTAGAGTTTGACACTCCAGTTAACGCACTGTGCATGTATAGTTTAATGGTAATTAGAGTTCGACACTCCAGTTAACCAATTGTGCATGTATAGTATAATGGTAATTAAGAGTTTGACACTCCAGTTAACGCACTGTGCATGTATAGTATAATGGTAATAAGAGTTCGACACTCCAGTTAACGCACTGTGCATGTATAGTATAGTGGGAATTAAGAGTTTGACACTCCAGTTAACGCACTGTGCATGTATAGTATAATGGTAATTAGAGTTCGACACTCAAGTTAACCAATTGTGCATGTATAGTATAATGGTAATAAAGAGTTTGACACTCCAGATAACGCACTGTGCAATGTATGGTATATTGGTAAGTAAGAGTTCGACACTCCAGTTAACCCATTGTGCATGTATAGTAAAGTGGTAATTAAGAGTTTGACACTCCAGTTAACGCACTGTGCATGTATAGTATAATGGTAATTAGAGTTTGACACTCCACTTAACACACTGTGTATGTATAGTATAGTGGTAATTAAGAGTTCGACACTCCAAATAACGCACTGTGCATGTATAGTTTATTGGTAATTAAGAGTTTCACACTCCAGTTAACAC